CCACCAACCTGCAAGAAGAATGGCTTAAAATCCCTCTGACCACTGTGCAGGACTTGTATATGTCATTCCCAAGACAAATTGACGCTGTATTGGCAACAAAAGGAGGCCCTACACCATACTAATAAATTATTGTGGTCTAAAACCAGGTGTTTCAGTTTCATTGTCCAACCCCTGTATGTCATGGTCAGGATATTATAACAGGCATTAGAATTTAAACTACTCGTATTAATGTTGTTGAAAAGTATTTTAATGATAAAATATTTAAGTTGTTTCTGGTTTCAGGCGACGTGTGCCAAAAGAGGCATCCCCTGGAGGTGTTCGGGGAGAATACATGGGCATGGATGACTATGGAGATGAGGATGAGGTGGGCCTGTGTGACAATTTATTCAGCGGAACCAAAAATTAGATAGTGAAAAGTTAAAAGGCAAACAAATGACACTTAAAAAGCCCTGCAGCACAAATTTTAACTTTGTCCTCTTTTTTAAATCTGTGGTTAAGTACCTTCATTGTTTCATGAGGTGGTCAAACAAAGAGTTCAAATTTTTGTGTAAAAATCAGGCTCTTTTGTTTAGGTCTGGCTGATGTGGACAGATAAAACCAATGAGAGACAGGAGAAAAGCATCAGGCAGCTCGCCCAGGAAGCAAGACAAGGAAACGCTCATGATGAAAATGTCCTCACCTACTACAGGTACGTCTTCACATGGAGTACTTTTACAGAGAAAACATGGAAGCCCTACATGTATGCATATTGTCTCAATTGTCTTCTCAGGTACCAGCTGAAGCTCTTCGCTCGAATGTGTCTGGACCGTCAGTATCTAGCTATAGATGAGATATCCAAACAACTGGATGTGGAACTCATCTTCCTCTGCATGATGGATGAGACGCTGCCTTTTGACCTTCGAGCTTCTTTCTGTCGCCTCATGCTGCATGCCCATGTAGACCGAGACCCTCAAGAACTTGTGACGCCGGTCAAGTTTGCACGGCTCTGGGCTGAGATACCGACCTCCATCACCATCAAAGAGTTAGTAGATTTTCATATTTTTGTCAATCTTTTTGAAGGAATATTTTTTTATTTTGACATACAGCCACTCCAATGTGCAGTGCATAGAAACTAAACTATACTTCTGAACTCTTTTTAAAAGTTGACAGTGTCATAAAAAAGACCATAGTGAAAATATTGAGAAAATTAGTAACAAGAGGTTATTTTATTCCAGTCTTGTTGGGGATTTGTACATATCAGTGGTGTTAGCTTCAAAAGTCCAAACAACAGTCAGAAAACTTAATTCTGTAAACCCATAAAAGTGTGGTTATGTATGTGCAGAAAAAAAGCTGTTCTTTGTGTATAACTCAATAATTACTTTCTCTGCAGTGTTGCAGCCGCTTTGTTGCAAATAGCCTAAGAAACCACCAGACAGGGCTGTCCAACTGTTTATGTTTTAAATTAACACAGAAACTAAATCTCTATTCAAAGAAGTCCAGATACTCCATATTAATTTAACTTTTCATAAAGCTAGTCATTTTCTGCAAGGTTTTGACCAATGAGTGACAGCATTAAAGGGCGGCACTTTTATTGGGTTATTTATAAGTATTAAGTATTTATATTTATTAAGTATTTATAAGTATTATAAGTATTTATAAGTTATTTATACCAGTATTGCACCAGTACATGAAGAAAATGGTAATGTGCACAATGGTGGCATGAAAGGTCGTTGTCATGTCTCGTGTTGTTCCGATAATCGATTCTGTGTGTCAAGCGATTTTAAGTGAAAGCCAGCAGAGCCTGGGTAGCTCAGGCAGTAGAGCATCAGACTTTTAATCTGAGGGTTCAGGGTTGACGTCCCTGTTCAGGCGGTAGTTCTTTGTTCCATATTTGAACTGTCAGGACTGTATAAGCAAGACTGCCCAGTGCACATTGCTAAACAATAGCATAAGCTGTTTCAACAGTTATGACACCAAGAGTCTAGATTTCTCAGATCTTTCAAGAAACCTTTATAAATTAATGTAGACCTTCTTCTACATCTGAAGCAGTGCCATTGCTGCAGAATTTCAGGTACCGATGTCTTCCAAAAGCCCATCCAAAGCACATTTACAAACAGTAGACTAAGCTAAGTCTATTTGAACTGTCAGGACTGTATAAGCAAGACTGCACATTGCTATACAATAGCATAAGCTATTTTAACAGTTATGACACAAAAGTCTAGGTTTCTCCGATCTTTTAAGAAACCTTTATAAATTAATGTAGACCTTCTTCTACATCTGAAGCAGTGCCATTGCTGCAGCATTTCAGGTACCGATGTCTTCCAAAAGCCCATCCAAAGCGCATTTACAGATAAGTTAAGCTTCTTAATTTGCATCCCCACCATTATGTAGAAATGGGACAATCACAGCGATTTGGTGAACACTAAAGACCTTCTTGTACATCTGAGGCAGTGCCATTGCTGCAGCATTTCAGTTACCGTTGTCTTCCAAAAGCTCATCCAAAGCGCATTTACAGATAGTAGCCTAAGCTAGAGTCATGGCACTTCACAAAGAGTCCTCATAGTTGGAATCTTACAAAGAACTTTATAAATTGCTGCAAGTTAAAGCATTTACACTGAGGTTATTTTTCTGTAAAATCCAGAGGTGATTCGTTGACAACTGAGCAAGCAGTATTGCACCAGTACATGAAGAAAATGGTAATGTGCACAATGGTGGCATGAAAGGTCGTTGTCATGTCTCGTGTTGTTCCGATAATCGATTCTGTGTGTCAAGCGATTTTAAGTGAAAGCCAGCAGAGCCTGGGTAGCTCAGTCGGTAGAGCATCAGACTTTTAATCTGAGGGTCCAGGGTTGAAGTCCCTGTTCAGGCGTTAGTTCTTTGTTCCATATTTGAACTGTCAGGACTGTATAAGCAAGACTGCCCAGTGCACATTGCTAAACAATAGCATAAGCTGTTTCAACAGTTATGCCAAAAGTCTAGATTTTCCGATCTTTTAAAAAACCTTTTATAAATTAATGTAGACCTTCTTCTACATCTGAAGCAGTGCCATTGCTGCAGCATTTCAGGTACCGATGTCTTCCAAAAGCCCATCCAAAGCACATTTACAAACAGTAGACTAAGCTAAGTCTATTTGAACTGTCAGGACTGTATAAGCAAGACTGCCCAGTGCACGTTGCTATACAATAGCATAAGCTTTTTTAACAGTTATGACACAAAGTCTAATTTTTCTCGATCTTTTTAAAAAACCCTTTTATAAATTAATGTAGACCTTCTTCTACATCTGAAGCAGTGCCATTGCTGCAGCATTTCAGGTACCGATGTCTTCCAAAAGCCCATCCAAAAGCACATTTAAAAAACAGTAGACTAAGCTAAGTCTATTTGAACTGTCAGGACTGTATAAGCAAGACTGCACTTGCTATACAATAGCATAAGCTATTTTAACAGTTATGACACAAAAGTCTAGGTTTCTCCGATCTTTTAAGAAACCTTTAAAATTAATGTAGACCTTCTTCTACATCTGAAAGCAGTGCCATTGCTGCAGCATTTCAGGTACCGATGTCTTCCCAAAAAGCCCTCCAAAGCGCATTTACAGATATTTAAAATTTTCTTAATTTGCACCCCACCATTATGTAGAAAGGGGAAACATCACAGCGTTTTGGGGGGGGAACTAAAGACTTCTTGTACATCTGAGGCAGTGCCATTGCTGCAGCATTTCAGTTACCTTGTCTTCCAAAGCCCATCCAAAGCCTTTTTCAGTATGCCTAGCAAAGGGTCATGGCACTTCACAAAGAGTCCTCATAGTTGGAATCTTAAAAAGAACTTTAAAAATTGCTGCAAGTTAAAGCTTTTACACTGATTTATTTTTCTGAAAAATCCAGAGGTGATTCGTTGAAAACTGACGCAAGCAGTATTGCCCCGTACAGAAAAAAAATGGAAAATGTCCAGGGTGGCATAAAAGGTCGTTGTCATGTCTCGTTTTGTTCCGATAATCATTTCGTGTTCAAGCGATTTTAAGAAAAAGCCAGCAGAGCCTGGGTAGCTCAGTCGGTAGAGCATCAGATTTTTAATCTGAGGGTCCGGGGTTCAAGTCCTGTCTAATTAGTTTTTTGTTCCATATTTGAACTGTCAGGACTGTATAAGCAAGACTGCCCATGCACATTGCTAAAACAATAGCAAAAAGCTTTTTTCAACATTTATGACACCAAGAGTCTAGTTTTCCCCAATCTTTCAAAAAACCTTTATAATTAATGTAACCCCTTCTTCTACATCTGAAGCAGTGCCATTGCTGCAGAATTTCAGGTACCGATGTCTTTCCAAAAAGCCATCCAAAGCAATTTTAAAAACGTAGACTAAGCTAATTCTATTTGAACTGTCAGGACTGTATAAGCAAGACTGCCCATGCACGTTGCAAACATAGCAAAACATTTTAACAGTTATGACACAAAAGTCTATTTTCTCCGATCTTTTAAGAAACCTTTTAATTAATGTAGACCTTCTTCTACATCTGAAGCAGTGCCATTGCTGCAGCATTTTCAGGTACCGATGTCTTCCAAAAGCCCATCCAAGCGCATTTACAGATAATTTTAAGCTTTTTAAATTTGCATCCCCACCATTATGTAGAAATGGGACAATCACAGCGATTTGGGTAAACACTAAAGACCTTCTTGTACATCTGAGGCAGTGCCATTGCTGCAGCATTTCAGTTACCATTGTCTTCCCAAAAAGCTTACCAAAGCGCATTTACAGATAGTAGCCTAAGCTAGAGTCATGGCCTTCACAAAAGAGTCCTCATAGTTGGAATCTTACAAAGAACTTTAAAAATTGCTGCAAGTTAAGCATTTACACTGATTTTTTTTCTGTAAAATCCAGAGGTGATTCGTTGACAACTGAGCAAGCAGTATTGCCCCAGTACATGAAGAAAAGGGAATGTCCAAATGGTGGCATGAAGGTCGTTGTCATGTCCCTCTGTTGTTCCGATAATCGATTCTGTGTGTCAAGCGATTTTAAGTGAACCCAGCAGAGCCGGGGAGCTCAGGCAGTAGAGCATCAGACTTTTAATCTGAGGGTCCGGGGTTGATGTCCCCTTCAGGGCGGTTTTTGTTCCATATTTGAACTGTCAGGACTGTTAAAAGCAAGACTGCCCAGTGCACATTGCTAAACAATAGCATAAGCTTTTAAACAGTTTGACCCCAAAAGTCTAGATTTCTCATATCTTTCAAGAAACCTTTATAAAAATTAATGTAGACCTTCTTCTACATCTGAAGCAGTGCCATTGCTGCAGAATTTCAGGTACCGATGTCTTCCAAAAGCCCATCCAAAGCACATTTACAAACAGTAGACTAAGCTAATTCTATTTGAACTGTCAGGACTGTATAAGCAAGACTGCCCAGTGCACGTTGCTATACAATAGCATAAGCTATTTTAACAGTTATGACACAAAAGTCTAGGTTTCTCCGATCTTTTAAGAAACCTTTATAAATTAATGTAGACCTTCTTCTACATCTGAAGCAGTGCCATTGCTGCAGCATTTCAGGTACCGATTTTTCCCAAAGCCCATCCAACCGCATTTACAGAAAATTTAAAGCTTTTTAATTTTGCATCCCCCACCATTATGTAGAAATGGGACAATCACAGCGTTTTGGCACACTAAAGACCTTTTTTTTACATCTGAGGCAGTGCCATTGCGAGGCATTTCAGTTACCATTGTCTTCCAAAAGCTTCCAAAACCATTTACAGATAGTAGCCTAAGCTAGAGTCATGGCACTTCACAAGAGTCCTCATAGTTGGAATTTTAAAAAGATTTTAAAAATTGCTGCAATTTTAAAGCATTTACACTGAGGTTATTTTTCTGTAAAATCCGAGGTGATTCGTTTGACAACTGAGAAAGCAGTATTGCCCCATACATAAAAAAATGGTAATGTGCACAATGGGGGCATGAAAGTCGTTGTCATGTCTCGGTGTTTTTCCGATAATCGATTCTGTGTGTCAAGCGATTTTAAGTGAAAGCCAGCAGAGCCTGGGTAGCTCAGGCAGTAGAGCATCAGACTTTAAATCTGAGGTTCAGGGTTGACGTCCCTGTTCAGGCGGTAGTTCTTTTTCCATATTTGAACTGTCAGGACTGTATAAAAAAGCCCAGTGCACATTGCTATACAATAGCATAAGCTATTTTAACAGTTTTATCCCCAAAAGTCTAGGTTTCTCCGATCTTTCAAGAAACCTTTAAAAATGTAGACCTTCTTCTACATCTGAAGCAGTGCCATTGCTGCAGAATTTCAGGTACCGTGTCTTCCCAAAAACCCATCCAAACGTTTACAGATAGTAGCCTAAGCTAGAGTCAGGAAACTTCACAAAGAGTCTCATAGTTGGAATTTTACAAAGAATTTTTAAATTGCTGAAAAGTTAAAGCATTTACACTGGGTTATTTTTCGTAAAATCCGAGGTGATTCGTTGAAACTGAGCAAGCAGTTTTGCCCCGTACAAAAAAAAATGGAAAGTGCACAATGGTGCATAAAGGGTCGTTGTCATGTCTCGTTTTTTCCCCGAAAATCGATTCTGTGTGTCAAAGGTTTTTAAGTAAAGCCAGCAGAGCCTGGGTAGCTCACAGTAGAGCATCAGACTTAAATCTGAGGTTCGGGGTTGACGTCCCTGTTCAGGCGGTAGTTCTTTGTTCCATATTTGAACTGTCAGGACTGTATAAAAAGACTGCCCAGTGCACATTGCTAAAAAATAGCATAAGCTTTTTCAACAGTTATGACCCAAAGTCTAGATTTCTCATATCTTTCAGAAACCTTTAAATTAATGTAGACCTTTTTTCTACATCTGAAGCAGTGCCATTGCTGCAGAATTTCAGGTACCGATGTCTTCCCCAAAAGCCCATCCAAAGCACATTTAAAAACAGTAGACTAAGCTAAGTCTATTTGAACTGTCAGGACTGTATAAGCAAGACTCCCAGTGCACGTTGCTATACAATAGCATAAGCATTTTAACAGTTTATGACACAAAGTCTGGTTTCTCCGATCTTTTAAAAACCTTTATAAATTAATGTAGACCTTCTTCTACATCTGAAGCAGTGCCATTGCTGCAGCATTTCGGTACCGTTTTCCAAAAGCCCCCCAAAGCACATTTACAAACAGTAAGACTAAGCTAAGTCTTTTTTGAACTGTCAGGACTGTATAAGCAAGACTCCCCGTGCACGTTGCTATACAATAGCATAAGCTATTTTAACAGTTATGACAAAAAATCTAGGTTTTCCCGATCTTTTAAAAAAAACCTTTTAAAATGATGTAGACCTTCTTCTACATCTGAAGCAGTGCCATTGCTGCAGCATTTTGGTACCGATGTCTTCCAAAAGCCCATCCAAAGCACATTTACAAACAGTAGACTAAGCTAAGTCTATTTGAACTGTCAGGACTGTATAAGCAAGACCACTTGCTATACAATAGAAAAGCTTTTTAAACAGTTATGACACAAAAGTCTAGGTTTTCCCATCTTTTAAAAAACCTTTAAAAATAAATGTAGACCTTCTTCTACATCTGAAGCAGTGCCATTGCTGCAGCATTTCAGGTACCGATGTCTTCCAAAAGCCCATCCAAAGCGCATTTACAGATAATTAAGCTTTTTAATTTGCATCCCCCCTTTTGAAATGGGACAATCACAGCGATTGGTGAACACTAAAGACCTTTTTGAAATCTGAGGCGGCCCATTGCTGCAGCATTTCAGTTACCATTGTCTTCCAAAACTTCCAAGCGCATTTACAGATAGTAGCCTAAGCTAGAGTCATGGCACTTCACAAGAGTCCTCATAGTTTTGAATCTTACAAAAAATTTTTAAAAATTTGCTGCAAGTTAAAGCATTTACACTGAGGTTATTTTTCTGTAAAATCCAGAGGGGTGATTCGTTGACAACTGAGCAAGCAGTATTGCACCAGTACATGAAAAAAATGAAAGGGGGTTTGGACAATAAACCTAAACACCTGTCATTTTTAGTGTGGGGGGTTTTAAATTGCTAAAAATTTTGGACCAGCCTGGTAGCCAGTCTTCATTGATTGCACATTGCACCAGTAAGAGCAGAGTGTGAAGGTTCATTTAGCAGGGTAAGAGAACAGTTTTGCTCAAAATATTGAAATGCACACAACATTAGGGGTGACATACCAGAGTTCAAAAGAGGACAAAGTTTTGGTGCATGTCTTGCTGGCGCATCTGTGACCAAGACAGCCAGTCTTTGTGATGTATCAAGAGCCACGGTATCCAGGGTAATGTCAGCATACCACCAAGAAGGACGAACCACATCCAACAGGATTAACTGTGGATGCAAGAGGAAGCTGTCTGAAAGGGATGTTCGGGTGCTAACCCGGATTGTATCCAAAAAACATAAAACCACGGCTGCCCAAATCACGGCAGAATTAAATGTGCACCTCAACTCTCCTGTTTCCACCAGAACTGTCCGTCGGGAGCTCCACAAGGTCAATATACACGGCCGAGCTGCTATAGCCAAACCTTTGGTCACTCATGCCAATGCCAAACATTGGTTTCAATGGTGCAAGGAGCGCAAATCTTTGGCTGTGGACAGCGTGAAACATGTATTGTTCTCTGATGAGTCCACCTTTACTGTTTTCCCCACATCCGGGAGAGTTACGGTGTGGAGAAGCCCCAAAGACGCGTACCACCCAGACTGTTGCATGCCCAGAGTGAAGCATGGGGGTGGACCGGTGATGGTTTGGGCTGCCATATCATGGCATTCCCTTGGCCCAATATTTGTGCTAGATGGGTGCGTCACTGCCGAGGACTACCGAACCATTCTTGAGGACCATGTGCATCCAATGGTTCAAACATTGTATCCTGAAGGCGGTGCCGTGTATCAGGATGACAATGCACCATTACACACAGCAAGACTGGTGAAAGATTGGTTTGATGAACATGAAAGTGAAGTTGAACATCTCCCATGGCCTGCACAGTCACCAGATCTAAACATTATTGAGCCACTTTGGGGTGTTTTGGAGGAGCGAGTCAGGAACCGTTTTCCTCCACCAGTATCACGTAGTGACCTGGCCACTATCCTGCAAGAAGAATGGCTTAAAATCCCTCTGACCACTGTGCAGGACTTGTATATGTCATTCCCAAGACGAATTGATGCTGTATTGGCCGCAAAAGGAGGCCCTACACCATACTAATAAATTATTGTGGTCTAAAACCAGGTGTTTCAGTTTCATTGTCCAACCCCTGTATTTCTAAAGTTATGACACAAAGAGTCTAGATTTCTAGGATCTTTAGCTCCTTTCCACATCAATCTCTCAGCATTGCTCTTGTCGCTAATATCACAAAAAGTGCTCGAAGGTAACAAACTGTAATTAAAATGCAGTACAAGCAAACCCATCCATAGCACCTTTAGAAACAATAGCTTAAACTAGGTCTAGAGTCATGGCCAGGGTTGGTTTTAGGGTCTTGAAACATTGGGGGCTTTAGCCCAGACCCAAAATATTTTAATTTTCAAAAGACAGTGGCCAAGTTTATAAGTCATTTAAAGTAAACATAACATAGGACATGTACCAGTTCTCTGTCTGGGCCGGGTTTTGATTAAATGCAAATTATTGTGTTTGGTGAGGAGGTCATATAATAGCAAAAGTTAACTGTATGTGATCTTTTTAAGTGTGTTTTGTTTATCAGTCCTTTGTGTCTTCCTCAGTTATGATTCAAATCTGGATGATAGCAGAGACAACAAGAAGAACCGTTTTGCTAACACCATGGTGTTTATGGAAGAGTATCTTAACAATGTACTGAATGATGAGCTACCTTTCCACAATGAAGAAAAAAACAAACTCACATATGAGGTTATTTATTCCTTTCTCCCTTTTTACAACATTTATCAGGTCTCTTTTTTCTTCTTATAATCACCTGTTTTGTCCTCCTTCACGCAGGTGGTGAGTTTAGCCAGGCACTTGATCTACTTTGGTTTCTACAGTTTCTTTGAGCTGCTCAGACTTACCAGGACTCTGCTCGGCATCATTGACTGTAGACCAAATCCTGCACACACAAACCTACCATTTCAAGACGAAGGATCAGGTACACTCTTATCTGGTTGTGATTGTCTCTGCCTC